ATTTGTGGTATATTCTTGTCAGAGTGTCACTAGGTAATCAAAACACTCAGTATATATCCTAAAGAAGTGAGAGCCAGGACAAGAACAGATATATGCACACCCGTGTTCATCACGGGACTGTTTACAATAGCAAAAAGATGGAAACAACGTAGGTGTCCATCAACAGAAGAATGGATAACCAAACTACGGTACATAGACACCATGGAATACTATGCAACACTAAAGAATAATGTAGAATCCACAAAACACCACATCACGTGGATGGACTTGGAGGACTTGCTGAGTGAAATAAGTCAATCATAGAAGGACAAATATAGTATTAGTTCATTGCTGTAAAAAGTCAAGGAAAGGTTTAAATATGGAAGGAAACTATCTTTGTTGGTGACCAGGGGTGGGAGGGGAAGAAACACTGCAAAAGAAAAAAAAAAAAAAAAAGCAAAGCATTGACATGTCACTTTAGTTTTGTATATTTCACTGTACATAAATTATAGTTCAATAAAATGTATTTAAAAAAACAAACAAACAAAAAACTGATTTGTTCGGTAAACCTTCACCCAAATCACAGTATAAAGTTCTTGCCTGGGGACTGCAGTGTGCAGAGGCCAGGAAGGTAGGACAGACTGATAAAGCAGACAGATAATCGGCCCAAGATGGGAGGTGGGCCAAGAAAACAGGGCTCTAGAGGTCTACAGAGGGAACTGTATCAAATGTGTGAGAAGAAGAAAGTGATCAAGTGTGTTTCAGTAAATGGATGTAATGCTGAAATCACTCATTTGTCTATGCCCCCAAAATTGGAAGACAGCTACCTGGCCCAAACGACTGGAAGAGATCTGTATTTGTGCCCATTCTAAAGAAATGTGACCCAACAGAATGCAAAAATTATCAAACAATATCATTAATATCTCATGTGAGTAAAATTTTGATGAAGATATTAAAAAACATTTGCAGCAGTAAATCGACAGGGAACTGCCAGAAATCCAAGCCGGACCAAGAAGCAGATGTGGAATGAGGGACATCATTGCCGATGTCTGGTGGATCTTGGCTAAAAGCAGAGAATACCAGAAAGATGTTTACCTGTGTTTATTGAAAATGCAAAGGCATTTGACTGTGTAGATCCTAAATTATAGATAACACTTCAAAGAATGGGGATTCCAGAATACTTAATTGCATTCACGTGGATATGTATGTACATGGACTAAAAGGCAACAGGCAGTTGTTCAAACAGAACAAGGGGATACTGCATGGTTTAAAATTAGGAAAGGTTTATGTCAGGGTTTGATCCTTTCACCATACTTATTCTATCTGTGCGCTGAGAAAATACTTTAAAAAAACAAAACTATATGAAATAGAACACAGCATGAGGATTGAAGGAAGGCTCATTAAGCACTACGATATGCAGCTGACACAACCTTGCTCGCTGAAGTGGAGAGGAGCTGAAGATCAAAGACTACAGCCTTCAGTATGGATTACATCCCAACCTGAAGCAAACAAAAGTCCTCACAACTGGTCCAACGTGCAACACCATGATAAATGGAGTAAAGACTGAAGTTGTCAAGGATTTCATTTTACTTGGATCCACTATCAATGTCCATAGAAGCTGCAGTCAAGAAATGAACTGACATAATGCATCAGGCAAATCTGCCACAGAAGACCTTTTAAAGACTTAAAGAGTAAAGCTATCGTTTTGAAGACTAAGGTGCACCTAACCCAAACCACAGGAGCTCTGGTAGCGTAGTGCCTAAGGCACGTGACTGCTAACAAGAAGGCTGGCGGTTCAAACCCACCAACCACTCCTCAGAAGGAAGGCGGGCAACCTACTGCTGTAGTAATACTGCCTCAGAAACCCAAGGGGGGCTCGCTATGAGTCGGGGCCAACTCGACAGCACATAACAACAACAACAACAACAACAACCCAAACCATGGTATTTTCAATCACCTCATATGCACATGAATGCTGGCCCATGAATAAGGAAGACCACAGAAGACCTGATGCCTTTGAATTGTTGGTGAAGAATATTAAATATCCATGGACAACCAGAAGACCAAACAAATCTGTATTGGAAGACTTACACCCAGAATACTCCTCAGAAGCAAGGATGGTGAGACTCTGGACATGTTACCAAAAAAAAAAAAAACCACCTTACTGCCCTTGAGTTGATTCGACTCATAGCGACCCTTCCTTGGATTTCCGAAGCAGTACCTTTACAGAAGTAGATTGCCCAACCTTCTTTCCAAGGAGTGGTTGGTGGGTTTGAACCGCCTGTTACCAGAAGGGACCAGTCCTTGGAGAAGGACATGAAGTTTGATAGAGGGTTAATGAAAAAGAAGAGGACTTTCAACGAGACTAGACGACTGACACAGTGGCTGCAACAATGGCCTCAGGCACAGCAAGAGCTGTGAGGCTGGCGCAGGCCTGCACACTGTTTCACTGTGTTGTGGTACAAGGCATTGCTATGGGTCAGAACCTCCTTAATGGCACCCAAGAACAACACTACAGTTTACTCTCCACACAGAAGGCGTCAAGTGATTATTTCACAAGGGTAAGTCAAATCATGTTCATCCTGCAGAGCAAAAGCCTTCCAGTGGTTTCCCACGCCACTTAGAGAATAGTGTCGACAATCGCCTCTGAGGTCTCAGGTGACCTGGCTCTTAGTTACCTCACATTCCCTCACCTGCTCCAGCAACACCAGCCTCTGCTATTCCTCAAGCAAGGCTTTGCACTCAACCTAAAAGTGCCCCAACACCCTCATGTATTCAGTTCTCTGCCCAGACTTCATCTCCTTAGAAAAACCTTGCCTGGACACCCCAATGAAAAGATCCCATTACAGTGATTTCCACTCCCTTAACTGCAGCCAACAACTTGCCAGCTGTTAGAGTAAGAAGATTCAGCATTACTTCTGAACAGAAGCACTATGGTATACAGAACTAGTCTCCTAAAAGTCATTTAAAAAATACCAAAAGGGGATGTTTCTGAGAATTAAATGAGATGCATGAATGTCAAGTACACAGTGTATCAGAGCATTAAGAGTTTTCTTCTATGGCTCTGGGGAGATCACAAAGTTAATACACAGTCTCTACAATTGACTTTCATCTTTCAGCTAAAAAACAAAAACAAAACATTTACAGAGAGAAAAAGAAGGAAATGTGGCGAAATGTTAACAATTGGTGGATCTAAACAAATTCTTAGCCCACCAACCTTTACATCCAAGGACAAAATGTTTCCCTTAAGCCTTCCCACTGGCCACAGACAGGAGGATCCAGCCTTCCCTCCAAATTGGAACTCTAGACCCCAGAGAAAGAGAGAGAGCCCACCATCACCCCCACAGGAGCCCCCTCTGGTGCCTACCCTCATTGGCTCCTTTACGAAGCTGCTTATAGTTACAGGACTGCTGAACAAGGTCCAATAGCTTCTTGGTGAGGTGGGCATCTGCGAGGGGATAGGCTTTCGGATTTACATCTGCTTCAGTCTAAAGGAGAAATCAAAGCAAAAGTCAAGACAGACCAGAAGCTGTTCTAGACAAGTGACAAAATACTTTAACCAACAACTGAGAAACACAGTGGCCAGCTTCCCCGCCCACACACACTGAACACCAGCCTACCTACTCTGCCTCTTAGAAAGAACATTTCATACACATACTCCTCACTAATCAATTACCTCTTATCTGACATTTCACATTTACAACAACAGTAAAGAATCTTCTATCCGACTATTTTGTGTATCAGTGACATACATCTGGTAGTAATAGATACCAAGGTGCGAAGCCAAAGTAACACTGGCTGTGATGGTTAAGGTTACGTGTCAACTTCTCTGGCCCATGACTCTCAGTGATTTGGCAGTTATGTCACGATGTAGTCACTCCTCCATTTTGTGATCTGATGTAGTCACTCCTCCATCTTCACATAATGCCGATTTTTTTTCAATTGTCCTCTCGTGCCTTTAAGAGCCAGCCCTACACTTAGGATGGCCCTCCTAAATTGAGAGGGAGACTGCTGTGCGTCCTGCCACAGACCCCATTGGTGCCGAGCACAGGGCACCAGGGAAAGCAGAGGCCAGGACAACATAATGCTGATAGTTGCCTAACAATCTGTTCTTTGGAACCTAACTGTGCTGGTAAGTGAGAAATCGTATGTTAAGGTCTTAAAAAACAAAACAAAACCAAGTTAGCAATTGTTTCCCCCAGTAACGATACTACAGCTTATGTTCTTTTATTTGCCTCTCTTAGTCTAGTGCCCAGTAATAACACTACAGCACATGGATTCTAAACAGGGTCCCCATGGCTCAGCATCCATTGGACTCACAGGGGGTAATCTTCTGTGAATTTGGATTCCAGGTTTTACCCCCAATTTTACTGAATGAAAATTAAGGTATAATGTACAGTAAAGGTAGCACCAAGTTCTCGCTCTCCATTCCCCTCAGTACTCAGCAAGAACCTGTTCCCAACACATAAATCTATTTTCTGACCCACCAAATGCTTTCAGAATTCAGAACTGCCAGAGCAACACTTCTACTAACAACAAACTCACCAAGGGCAAATTCCTTTTTGTTCTTAGTAAAGTCACATAAAGTACTATGTTTAAAATTACTCAAAACTAGATCAAGTAAGGAACTAGATCAAGCCTTTAGGTCCAACTTCCTTAGAGGAAATACAGGTGACCAAAAACCACGTTAACCAACACCCTAAACACAGTAAGTCAAACTAAAACCAGGTTAAGCTCTGTAGGACAAAGGACCACGTATCTTCAGCAGTTAAGTTTTGTGTGTGTGTGGGGGGGGAGGGGGGAACCTGTAAATTTAGACATATCACAGATTCTAATCCTAGATACTTGATTTTAAGAAATTTTAAACGTGTTATGATAGCATGATTATGTTAAAATTCTTATGTTATAGATATGTATGAGATATTTATCAATCAAATGAGATGCCATTGGGATTTGCTTCCAAATAATCCATGCTGGGAGGGAACTGGGTGAGTGGCCTATTCTCATCCGTCCACCTCTCCAGTTAACCATTTTTATTAATTTCTCATTTGTCCTTCCTGTATTTCTTGTTACAAAAAATACTCATATGTATATATGCAGACATGCACACATGCATATAAATATTTTAGGTGTAGTTCCCATATTGCCATTAGGTGTGTGAGTGGTGATCCTAAGTAACTCAGAAGCAGGAGCCTGGACTGGGCACATGGCACTGCAGTTCTCAAAGGTGATCCATAGGTGACGGCCTGGTGGGAACACTCACTTGGTGCCTTGATGTCCCAATAGGTCAAGGACATATACATATGCCCCACCCCTCAGGTAGCTGGACATGACGTAGGAGTGACGCCAGAGGATGTACCACCACAGGGCCACACTGCACCGAGATACCTGGTCCCCTGCCCAACACATCACACTTGGGTGAACCTGTTAAAAGTGCTGGGAAGAATCAATGAGGGCTGAAGTTTCCTGAAGGAAAGAAAAGCCTCCACATTGCATTTATTTATTTTTTTCTTCTGTGTATCTGTTAGAATCAGCCTCAAGGTCTACCCTCAACCCACCCCCACAAAAGTCTTCTGGGACTGATTTACAGATCCAATGCAATCCATCTTTGGAACACAGACTGTTAACCCATTAAAATATATTCATTTAGTTCTTTAGAGGTAAAGCTTTATCATTTTCTCCATGAAGGTTTAATATCTTTTAGATTTATTCCCATATACTTCATACTTCAAGTTAAGGAAATTCACTACGAATTTTGTAATGAATTGGGTGAATTTTATCAGAGTTTTTGCAGTGACTCAGATGAATATAATTTTTTCCTTTAATTTACTAATGCAGCAGCCAATCAGGTGTACAGACTCTCCAATGTTAAATCATACTGCTTTCCTGAAATAAAACCAATTTAAGCAAGTAAGGTTTTCTTTCTAAAATTTCATTTTGCTGAATCCATTAGCTAAAGGGTATAAAGTTTCCTTTTGGGGTGATAAAAATTTCTAAAATTAGACTATAATGATGGTTGCACAACTTGGCAAGTAAATGGAAAAAAAAAAAAAACCCACTGAATTGTCTACTTTAAATGAGTAAACTCTATGATATGTAAATTATCCCAATCCAAACCCAAACCAAACCCACGGCTGTAAAGCTGATTCCAACTCATAGCAACCATACAGGACAGAGCAGAACCGCCCCACAGGGTTTGCAAGGCTACAAATCTTTATGGAAGAAGACTGCCAGACTGCCACGTTTCTCCTGCAGAAGCACTAGTGGTTTTGAACTGCTGCCCTTTCGATTACCAGTCAAGTGCTTTAACCACTGTGCTACCCAGGCTCCCCAAAAAACCATAACGAAACTTTAAAAGTCATAAAAATCATTCACTTTGTCTCCTTCATGCCTGTCACTGCTTATTTGTATGTTTTCTCTTAATTTCTCGCTCAGTCACATTGGAGAGAATTTTTCAAAATCACTTGATTTTGTCCATTGTTTAACAATAGGACTTATTTTCTATTTCAGTGGTTTCTACTTTTTTCCCCTCCTTTCCTTTGTCTTTCTTTGGGGTTATTTTGTTTTCTTGTTTCTTAGTCCTTTTCCCTCAACAGAATCACTTAAAGGTCCAAGAGAGGCTTTAGCTGCAAACCACATGCTCTGGAACGTGGCATTTTCATTACTGTTCAGTTCTGTTTTTGAATTTCCATTATACTTTATCTGGCCCATGAATTATGTACACCTTCAACTCCAAACACTAACTTTGCTATTGATTCCTAATTTACTTGCATTTTGGTTGAGAACGTGGTTTATATTATCATCAGTCTTTTAAAATGTGTTGCAACTTGCTTCATGACCGAGTAGGTGGCCAATTTTCATAACGTTCTTTGCATAAACATTCCTTGCATGAAAAGTGCCTTCTACAATTGTTGCCTGCAGTGTTCATTCACTAGATTTCCCCTCCATTAGATCAAATTCATTCAGTGTTGTTCAAATCCCCTATTTCATGCTTTGCATAACCTATCACATAATTTTTGAAAACTTCTATAATTGTGTTACATTTATCTATTGGTGTAATTATGTCAGTTTCAATCTATTTATATCTTATTTTGTACCCATCCTCTATCTTTACCCATGCCTTTTGCCCAGGGCTTTGAACAGGCCCCTATTTAAAAATCTGTGTGATCAAGAATGATAAGGAGAATAGGAAAAGTTAATGATTCGAAGCCCTGGAATGGAGATGCGGAAGAGGCACAGTGAGCCTTTTCAGGAGTCTGGTGCATGAGATTGGATTAATGGCAGGGCTGTGGAGAGAGACACACACACATTCAAAGTGGCACGGTGGACCCCCATCTCAGAGCAGGGCCACTGGCACAGGCAACAGATTTAGTTGCTATGCAACACATAAGCTGCTTTTGTTTTCTAAGAGGCTTCTGAAGCCTGAATACTTAAGAGGAGCAACCTCTTAGATAGGTTTAATGTTAACTTAAAAAGATAAAGTTAGGCTCAACTTTAAAACCAAACTACCCAGCTTGTATTGGCGCGTTTATTCAGCGTTTAATTCATTAATGTGTTAATTAGTGGCACATGAAAATGAACAAATAAAATCATACCCCTAACTTATTAAGCTGGATTGGTCTGGTCTCGCTGGACACCAGCCAGCCAAAATCTGCAAGGTTCTATCTAACAATTAATTACTGCTCCCTGGCCCCAAACAAGAACCAGGAGTAGGTATTTAACACGCATTGAATCCTCACACCATTCTCAAGCATCGTTATCACCATTTCACAGTTAGGGAAAACTGCGGCAAAGATGAACCTTACATCAGCCGATTCGAAATATTTTCACGGACCTGCGTTAAAATCATACGAGGGAGCACTGGTTCGCGACCTTCAAGTTCTAACATCAGTCACGTACTAGCTTTAAACCTGGGGGGTGGGGTGGGCTAGAGACGGGTGGTAGTCCCGTCGGGCTCCGAGCCCCTCTTCCCTTCCTACCAAGTGCCAACCAAAACTGACCGGGATACACGATTTGCAACTCTCCTTCAGTGATTAAAAGTTGAAGACGACCAAGAGTTTAGAGGAGTTTACGTGGTCCTACCAAGGCCTCTTATTTCTGACTCCCGCTCGCAGAAGACTCCCGCGTCCCAAGCAAGGGATCCACGCGACTCGCAATCCGCCCCACCTCCAAACGCTCCTTTATTCCCCAGCACGTGTAACTCCCTGTGGCACTAGGCGCAACCACAGAGCTCTTCCTCTCTGGAATCCGAGTTATGGGAGGTGGGGGGAAGGTTTGACCGAATCCCAAGGGTCCGCGCCATCCTTTAGGAATCGCAAAAGAAATTAAAAGGGGGTGGTAAGATGCCCCCCTTCCAATCCATCAAGCTTTCTGTTCTCTCGCACGTGGGCTTGTCTCTTTCTCCCAGGCCCGGCCTTGCCCCCAACCAACGGTTGGGCACGAAGTCTCCCTGAGTCCTAACACCCGGCCGAGCGGTAGGGATCCGCGGCTGCCTCAACTCTAACCCCGCGCCGGTGCGGGGTTGGGGGTGGAGAATGAGATGGCGCACTTTCTAACCCCGGGACCGACTGTTGGGGCTGCGAAGTTGCCAGGGCTCTAACCCCGCGCCGGGCAGATAAGGGGACGCACGTTCTAGGCCCACAAGTGAACCGAACGCGAGTTCCTCGATTTCTAGTCTTTCCGCCTAGGGTGTGCGCGCACGCACTCACCATGGCTAAGGTTCCACGGTCTCGCCACTTCCTTCGTAGTCCGAGTAGTAACTGCTCCTGCGCTAGAAAGTCGCACTGAGAAGGAGCAGAAATGGCCGCGCAAAGCAGGAAGCGGAAGTGACGTCATAACGGAGGGTCAAACCTCGCGTTCCGTCAGGGGTCGTGGGCGCAGAAATGGCTTTAGTTGTCAGGCAGGGGCTGCATTTTGTTATCGTTGCTACAATTCTCTGCATTTTGTTACACTTACTACAATTCTCTAGAAGCTTTGGTAGCGTAGTGCCTAAGGCACTTGGCTGCTAACCAGAAGGCTGGCGGTTCAAACCCACCAGCCACTCCTCGGAAGGAAGGTTGGGCAATCTACTTCCGTAGTGATACCTCCTCAGAAACCCAAGGACGGGTTGCTATGAGTCCTATCCTACTCGAGGGCAGTAAGAAAGGCCTGGTGATCTACTATCAAAAATTACCAATAAAAATAATATGGATGCAATCATAAGGATGGTGCAGGACGCAGCAACATTACCTTCTGTATGTATGAGGTCGTCATGAGTGGAAGCTGTATCCATGGCAACTAGCATTATCATTGTACCACACATTAGTGGCAGAAACAATGAGTTAAACATTCCAAAAATAATGCACCGAAACAAAGGGTTTCAATGGTGTTATCACTCCATTGCTGGCTTACTTTTTTAGCCATTTTTGTGCTTTCAAAATAATTCTAAATACATTAGCGAGGGAAATGAATGGACATAATTAAGGGTATTTCTAAATTTTTGCCTTCATTTAAAGTTATCTCTTGTAAACGTTTCTAGTGGAAAGTGGAGTTGGAAATGTACATTTCACAGTATATTGAGTTACTAAAATAGAGAAATACTTCCCAGTTGGTTGACAAATAGCTGAGGCCTTCCCCTGGGGCTCCAGGAGCTACTTACCATCCACCCACTGAAGGGTTAAGGCCTGGCCCTTTCTCATTGGTTGATGGCCCTGCCTGCTCAGTTATCCAATTTTTTAAATACAACCCGTGGGTAGAAGAAGTCATCAGGGTAAAATCTGCTTTCCTACCAACACTGAGATGGGAAAAGTCATTCCTCAGTAGAAAGTCAGGATACTGTAGGAAGGGTGCTGGGTGGTCAAACAAGAATGTTCTTGAGTGCCCTGGAGCTGATGTTCGACTCCAAGCATGTGGAAGAGCAGAAGTGCCCCCTAAGGTTTTCTTGGGTGGAGTAATCTTTATGGAAGCAGATTTCCAGGTCTTTTTTCTATGGTGCCGCTGAGTGGGTTCAAACCACCAACCACTTGGTTAGCACTTAGCCATTGTACCACCAGGGCCCCTTGTTCAAGACAGTGTTCATCAGATAATGGATAAGCGGATGGACAAGTGGCTGAAAAGTACTCATAGGAAGAAGGAAGTCAAGCAGACCACAGGATACATCACCCCATCCTCCATGGTAGGAACTTAAACTTTTCACTCCAGAGGACAGGGATGTTTAAAACAAGTTCCTCTTCCCCCTAAGCCCTTTGGGGCAGTCCCCCAACACTGTCCTGCCCCGCATCCAGGTTCTGTGGCTAGAGTGGAGGCAGGGACACCATGCTCCTTTGTGAGGCAATCTCAGTGACAAAGGTGCTATCTATGAGGTGAGGGGCTACCCCACCCCAAACTGTCTGGGTCAGGCAGACAGGTCCTGCCCTTCAACTCCCCAACACCACCTGCCCAGCCTAAGCTTTGCCATGTTGCTGCCACTGCTGGGAGCCTGTGCCCTGGTGGGGCCATTCCAGGGCCCAGAATGGGAGCCTGTGCGGGGCCTGCTCTCCCAGAAGGGCAGCTGCAAGGATCCCCGGTGCTGTGGCAACCTGCTCGTGCTGTGCCTCTTTCTGATCTGGCAGGTCCGGCACTATTGGCACCAGACCAACAAGACGCGTTCCAGCCTAAGGAAGGCCATCAAGGTGAGGGCTCCCCAATACCGCCACGCTCTTTCCCTGAGCATCATGCTTGGCTCAACTACTTGTTATCAAGACGCTGTGAAAACCAAACCCATCGCCACTGAGTCAATTCTAACTCATAGTGACCCTATAAGACAGAGTAGAACTGCCCCATAGGGTTTCCAAGGCTGTAGATCTTTATAGAAGGAGATTGCCTCATCTCTCTGTCAGGGAGTGGCTGGTGTATTTCAAACTTTGACCCATTTTTGAACAGCCGGGCACTTAACCATTGTGCCGCCAAGGCTTCTTCAAGATCCTGTCCAAGACACCAAACTCACTGCCGTTGAGTCCATTCTGACTCCTAGTGACCCCTCCTTGGGTTTCCAAGGCGGTATCTCTATGGAAGTAGGTTTCTGAGGCGGTATCTCTACAGAAGTAGATTGCCCAATCTTCTTTCTGAGGAGTGGCTGGTGGGTTTGAACCGCCAGCCTTCTGGTTAGCAGTCAAATGCCTTAGGCACTACGCCAACCTCCTTAGAGCCCTGGTAAAGAGCTCTGGTGGTGCAATGGTTAAGGCATTCAGCTGCTAACTAAAAGGAAGGCGGTTCAAACCTATCAGCCACTCCACAGGAGGAAAACGAGGCAATCTATAGCCTTGGGAACCCTATGAGGCAGTTCTACTCTGTCCTATAGGGTGAATCGGAATTGACCCCATGGCAGTGGACTCGGTTTGGTTTCTGGTTAACAGTCTGCAATACTGATATTTACCACTAGATGGCACTCTATGTGTCAAGTGATATGGCTAGTGAATGGGATGAAAATCAGGGACCGCTGAAAAAAAATCAACTACAGAAAAATGAACTGGAAGTGCTTTTAAGGCACCATGAACCCAGGAATCTGCAAATGTATCTCTGGCTGACTACAACCCAGGCTGCAGGCCCAGAAAATGAAATGCTTCTTCCCCCAGAAAGCACTCACCTTGATTTGTTCTCCAAGAGCTACAACCTGGCAGCGTCTGCCTTACTGTGAGCCGCATTCAAAGCAGTCTAACCTTGACTTACCATCCTGTGAGGAGGATGCCTTCAAGTACTGCTTCTTATTATTACCAAAATTAAACCAAACTCACCAAAATTAAACCAAACTCACCCCCATTGAGTTGATTCTGACTCATGGTGACCCCCACTGGGTTTCTGAGGCTGTAAATCTTGACGGAAGTAGATTGCCCCCTCTTCCTTCTGGGGAGTGGCTGGTGGGTTTGAAC